TGCAGCAGCAGCAGCAGCAGCAGCAACCCCAGCAGCAGCAGCAGCAGCAGCAGCAGCAGCAAGATATAATGTAGGGTTTACTCTTCCTGCTGCTGCACCAGCAGCAGCATCTCCTTTCTCCATAGGCGTGAAACGAACCTTGCTGCTGCTGCCGCAGCAGCAGCAACTGCAGCAGCAGCAGCAGCAGCAGCAACTGCAGCAGCAGCAGCAACTGCAACAGCAGCAGCAGCAGCAGCAGCAATACATGCGCATGCACAGCCCATTCCCTTCATTTCCTTTATCCTCTCCCCTATCAGCAGCAGCCCCGTTCTCCCTCTCTCTCTCCCTCCCTCCCCCCCCAGCAGCAGCAGCAGCAGCAGCAGCAGCAGCAGCAGCAGCAGCAGGAGGAGGGTTGTTTCGTGCATGCATGCGTTGGTTTGGGGGTCGAGCTGGGGGCCTAAAGAGACAAAAAAGAAAGAGAGATGCTGGTGTGCTGCAGCAGCACGGAAAAGGGAGAAGAATAGAGTTATATATATTAAAAAAAAAACATAAAAAAAAAGTTTATATAAAACAAAACAAAAGACAAACACTAGCATACGATACACGCATGCATAGATTTTTATGTGTATGGATCAGCAACAACCAACAAGTATATAAAGCATATAATATAAAAAACAGAAATATAGGGAGAGATGGGGGCAGAGGTGTTGCTGCTGCTGCTGCTGCATTTGGTTTGCTGCAGCCTGGTGGGTTCGAAGCAGCAAGAATGAAAGCGTTGCTGCTGCTGCAGCAGCTGCAGCAGCAGGGGAAGGTGCAGCAGGACTACAGCAGCAGCAGCAGCAGCAAACCCGAAATAAACCGCAGCGGTGTTTCTGGGGTTTACTATGATGCTGAGGAAAGGGTCTGGGTTGCTGCTGCTGCTGCTGCTGGCGTCAGGAGACTGCAGGCGTTCTCTGTCTCCTCTTTGGGGTTTTATAAGGCTTTTGCTGCTGCAGCAGCAGCAAGACAAAAGATATTAAATAGTAAACACCAATTCGTTATTTATAAATACAGAAAAAGAAGAGGCAGACAACCCTATAGATAAATATTTATTTATTTATTTATTTATTTTATTTATTTTATTTATTTATTTATTTGTTTATTTGGGTGTTTTGTTGTTTATAGTGCTGCTGCTGCTGCTGCTGCTGCTGCTGTAGCGGGTGCTGCTGGTGCCCTCTGTGCACCCGCACCTGCTACTGCAGCAGCAGCAGCAACTGCAGCAGCAACAGCAACAGCAACTGCAGCAGCAGCAGCAACTGCAGCAGCAGCAGCTACTGCAGCAGCAACATCAACTGCAGCAGCAGCAGCACCTGCATCAGCAGCAGCAGCAGCAGCAACTGCAGAAGCAGCAGCAGACGCAGCAACAGCAGCAGATGCAGCAACAGCAGCAGGAGCTGCTGAAGCTGCAGCAACAGCAGCAGCTGCAGAAGCAGCAGCAGCAGCCGCTGCAGCAGCAGCAGCAACAGGTGATGCGAGAGCGGGGTGTGCCGCTCTTTGGGTTTATTTAGGCTGTGGGGGGAGGAAACCAAATGTCTCCTTTTGTCTCCTTTTGTCTCCTTTTGTCTCTTTTTGTCTCTTTTTGTCTCTTTTTGTCTCTTTTTGTCTCTCTTTCTCTTCTTTTGTCTCCTTTCTTTTGTCTCTGCTTTTGTCTCTTTTTATATCTCTTTCTGTCTCCTTTCTTTTGCCTCCTTTCTTTTGTCTCCTTTTGTCTCCTTT